TTCGGGAACATTTGGGTAACAGATCAACACAGAACTCAGCAGACAACGAGACAATCGTGGAAACGATGCGACGTAACCACTCGGAATGCTATCAGCAGAACGTGACGACGCGTTCCCGACTTTTGATAATTCCCAATTCCCGGATCGCCGGTCGTCGTCGGGCCGGTCGTCGTCGGGCCGGTCGTCGTCGGGCCGGTCATCGTCGGGCCCGTCGTCGTCAGACCTTCCAAAGGGGGGGGGGGGGGTCTAGCTGAAGTAGCCGATGAGTCCTTCCTCTTTGCCGAAGACTCGGGTGGGAATGAGGCCGGCGTTTTTGGCGGTTCGAAGGCCCCGCCAGAGGTTGCGATCTTGGGCAAGATGACGTTCGGAAGGTTCGACTTCGGTTTCGGGATCTTCGTCGATTTTCTTTTTCTCGAGGACATCAGTCCAACGTTGTTGGAGCTGTTGGGCGTGGCTGAAGGTGTGGTAGTCGTCGGGCAGGGGTGTTTCGAGGTAGGCGTCGTCCCGCCAGGCGGAGAGATCGGTCGGCGTCATCAGAAGTCTGCGGAGTTGTTCATGTCCCGTCTTCGCTATGGCGGTGAAGCGGCCAAGTCCGGCAATGACCGCACGTTCACATGCGTCCTGTCCTGTGTTTTCAGTTGTGTTTTGGGCTGCAAGAGCCCCCGGGTCGGGGACGGTATGGTCGTAACTGCGGTGGTTGGGGGGGGCTTCGGGTAGGTTGCCAGTTTGGTTACTGGAGGGGTAGCCTGTTTGCAGTTCGAGGCCGAGAATCTCATGACATTCGTTCAAAAGCTCATGGCTAAGACAGACAACCAGGGCCTGTTGTGCCTTCTTGTAGGCGGCGAGGACATGGATGCTGATGTTCGCCGCCCAGTTAGCCAACAAGCCTTGCTCGTCCGCTCCGGCGACCCACTGGAAAGCGATACGCAGCGCAACCAACACGTGTGCGGCGATTACAGAAGCATATTGCGGCACCGTCGCAAAGGTCTCAATGAATGCCAATGGACTCACATGAACTGCCGTCAGCAGCTGCACTGCATGATTTGGCACGCGATGCTTCCGCTTTCCCGCTGCCGTGCAACACCGCTCCAGAAACTGCCCGAACTGCTCCACCTCCCGCAACCGCCCCACCAAACAGTCCAGTCGCTCGTCTACCGTCTCGCCTTCTTCTAGCACCTCCTCCACCACCGCCGCCTTTCCAACTGCGCCGCCGCCGGCGGACCCGGAAGCACGACCGGATACCGAACGTGTGCCGCCCGCCAAGATTTCCATCCTGACCGACAGAGTACCCCCCAAACACACAGTCAAGTACTCCGCCGGGTCCTGTAGAAAACGATGCACGCGTAGGAACAACACGTAGTCCGCAGCCGTCAAGTGTGCAGGCGCACCCAATTGCAGCCGCTGCCGAAACTCCACCGCACGGTCCCACGCCGCCAACACGGCCCGTTCCGTCTCAACACTTGCCACGCCCGTGGGAAAGTCCTTATTGCACGCACCCGCGCCTCGGTGCCGACATGAAACTATCAAATGAACATTTTCTCAGCACACGTGTGTGTGCACACACACCCGTGTGTTTTACCGACCGGCTGGGTTTGTTACCGACGGACCGACGGACTGGGTTACCGACCAGTAGCTGGCCGAGTGAGTGGGTGTGTGCTTACTGCCTTCGAAGGAGGGCGGGAGGACGGCGTAGGGGAACATGCGAATACGGGCGGCGTAGGCGAGCCATTGGTCGTCTGCGCTGAGGGCGGCGAGGAGGGCGTTGGAGACGGAGATGCACATGGCGCGGCCGGGGACGAGTCGCTGCGTGAATTTGAGTTTTTTGTCTTCGGCGATGGCGGGGTCTGCAAGGAAGGCCTGCATCGCGGCGTCGCCGTCATGGAGTAATTCACGCCAAACGTCCGCCGTGCGCCAAAGGAGCGCGCTCAGCAACGCCGCATCGGCGACCGTGCAAAAGTCGACACAATAACTCACGGTTTCGAACGCATCTGTCGCCGCCGCAGTTGGTGCACTCCCCCGCGTGCGGAATCGCGCGAGGTAGACCGCCGTGATCGCCGCCAGACACTGTCCGATCACCGAACTCCGCTCCGTCAGCGGCCACTCCTCCACCAGAATGCCTTTCAGCTCGGCGACCAAGTACGCCGGCAATGTGCTATTCCAGCCCGAAGAGTGGGGGGGCTCAGCCCTTTCGGGGTCTAACCCCAAAGGAGGCTCTGCCCTTTCGGGGTCTACCCCCAAAGGGGGGTCCGCCCTTGCCCTTACGGGTTGCGTCTTGTCATTCACATTGGACCTGAGCACGTAGCACACCCAAATATAAACGTCTTGGGGTAGCGTCTCCCAGCGAACTTTATCTAGTAGCTCCTTAACAGTTGTGCACCCAGCAATTAACGGGCCTAGGCTATCTTCAGCATCAATGAAACTAGAAGTAATTATTTCCTCTACTCCATTTACCGCCATAATAATGGTCGCTCCCTACAGCCGACTCCAACCTCTGTCCAGCCGCGGACTGCCAATATGCCATCATTCTGTCGCGAACGTTTCCCTCCGCACACGCGTGCGTGCAACACACACTCGTCCAAGCCGCTGTCTGGTGAGGCGTGTGCGAGTCGGAGACAAAACGTCTCTGCCCCAAAAACCTTCTCTGGTTTTTTTGGTATCTTTGTCCCACATCTATCAGAGTATCAATTCGTCGCCTTTTACTACGGATTGCCTTGGATAGTTGGACTTGTTAAGATGTGTATTTTTTGTAGCCCTTCTGGGTGACTGATTGCATCCCTTCTGAAATGGCGAGTCTTAGCTTGAGGTGAGTCTTAGCTTGAGGTGGTAAGTATTTCAACTGTATGGCCTTTGGCGGGGAGATGGGACATGTGTTATACCACCGATGTGACAGGCAGGCGTCTCCAGGAAAAAATAAACCCCGTGGGCGCCCCCTACGGTTACACGTTGGCCGAGCGGGCTTGGAGTCTCTAGCTAGGCTTGGGGGAGTTTTTGGAGGCGGAGTTTTTGTTCGTGTTGGTAGTAGACTAATCGGGCGTCAGGTGTCATGGCTGCAGATCGGTCGATGTCAGACTTGAGTCTGGCGAAGCTGGCTTCCTGAGTGTCTGGGGGTAGAGGGACGGGGTGTGCCGTGAGAGTGGTGCCTTCAATAGCCTGTTGGTGGAGGAGGTCGCACGCGGCGTGTGCTTCGACGGCGGTGCTGAACTCCGCCAGGACTCGACCGCCTTCGCCGGCGTGGAAGCGACAGCTGCGCACGAAGCCGACCTGATTGCCTGTCTTTTTGACGTGCACAACGAGTCGTGCCCACTGGTCGGCACTGAGGTGTTCTTTATCGTTCGCGCGAGCGACCGCGAGACAACGAGATGCAGCCGGTGTCTGTCCATTCAGCCACAGCGCAACACGCGGCAAGCTTAGCTGACTCCATGGCACCGCCACGGTAACAGCGTCGCCGGGTGCGGCGCCTCCGGCAGCGGCGGCGCCGGAGGGGTCGTCAGCGATGGCTTCTGGACGGTCGCCGGGACCGAGCATGGGGAGACCGGTGGTGGTGTCTATGGGCGGTCGACCGGAGTGGCCCACTGCACGTCGTACGTTGAGGTAGCGGTCACCGACCTTGGTTCCATTAAGTTGTTCGCAGGCGGCGTCCGTGACACTGGGGTCTCGCCATTCGCAGAAGGCATACCCCTTGGAGCGGTCGGCTTCCCGGTCCTTAACGAGATGAAAAGCTTTCAAGGCGCCGAAGGTGGAGAGCAATTCCTTAACCTCGAATTCCATCATATGGTGTGGCAACCCGCCAATAAACACCTTGTTCGGTCCGTCGTCGACGGAGGTGGAGACGATGCTCGTCCGGGCCTGGTTGCTACTCAAACACGCCGCACCCCGCAAGGCACTGATACCGCCCTTTAACTCCATCTCCACCGCTAGTTGCTGACGTGCCAAGGCCGCATTGTAGTCTTGCGGCCGTCGCAACTTGAGTGCATAACCTTCCATCATGATCCCATCCAATGTTAACGTAAAAGTCGTCTCCTCAATCGACCTGTTCTCTATGAATGCAAATCGCTTCGTCGTGTTTATGTACGTCCCAATTATAGAGTCGCCCAACGGCTTGTTCGGTAGCAGAGCCGATAGTGTGTGATTGAAGAACTGCGCAATGATTATCTCTTGCGTTACACTCGGCGGCAAGTTACCAATGTATACCTTCCGCGCGTGCTTGCTCGCCTGGTCCAACGGCAACGGGTTCATCAACACACCCACCGGTGCCACCGACGTCGAGAACCCGCTCTTCTTCTTCTCCTCACTCATCCCACAACCGGATTTTTTCGGACACCTGTGGAGGCGGGTGGGGCAAGAACTGCGGGGGTGGGGGGCAGAGCTGTGAGGCAAGCGGGCATGAGCTGGGGGCAAGCGGGCATGAGCTGGGGGCAAGCGGGCCAGAGCTGGGGGCAAGCGGGCCAGAGCTGGGAGGGGGTATTTTCGGGGCAAAAACGAATGGTTTCGGCGCCAGTAACGCTGGTGCTGAGTTTTGGATGGAGAGGGCTGGTGGCTGTGGGCCGTTTGTTGCAAGACGTGGCCGACCAGGTGGAGATGCCGAGTGAGACACTAATTTTGTTTGAGGCGCGATCTGGCAATCGTGACGCTCTTATATTGGACACGACGGCAAGTAGTTTATACACCACTAACCTAGAGGTGAACACACGCGTGCCCGTGCCTTGCCCCGCACCGCACAGCTACCGTCTTTGCGAACTGCCTCGCGCACAAATAAGGCTCTGGGACCGCCTCGGCCATGAACGCGCACGCGCGGCGGCTGAACCCAAAGCCGCTGCCCTCATGCCCGATGAGACCGTCATCGACTTCGACCACGTCCAAAGGGCTCCACCACCGGCTGCCACTGAAACCAAAGCTGCGAAGCAAAAGACCGAGAAGGCTGTCGACACTGAGGCTGTCGACACTGAGGCTGTCGACACTAAGGCTGTCGACACTAAGGCTGTCGACACTGAGGCTGTCGACCCTAAGGCTGTCGACACTAAGGCTGTCGACACTGAGGCTGTCGACACTAAGGCTGTCGACACTGAGGCTGTCGACACTAAGGCTGTCGACACTAAGGCTGTCGGCTCTAAGGCTGTCGGCTCTAAGGCTGTCGACACTAAGGCTACCAGAAAACTTGCCGCCACCGAGACTACCACGATGATGGCCCCCGAGCCGTCCGCGGTGATGGACGCCACCGAGACTAGCACGACGCTGGCCACAGAGGCGGTGACGGGCCCAGTTGTGCTGCGCCCAGCGGAGCGAATCGCGTCCATTCCGAAGGTGAAGTGGTACATGGTGTCTGAAGAGTCGTTGACGGCGGGGGATGCGGAGTCTTCTTTAGAATCGGCGGGGTCGCTGAATCTGGCTGCCGCATGGGCGAACTTTTCGTGGTTGAGTTTCTGGGACGGGGCGTATGTGATGCATCCGCAGCGAATGCAGAGTTTGGCCGCTTATATCGAGAAGTTTTCGGAGTATGACGCCTGGTATCACCCACACAAGAACCTGACGTTGGCGGACGACGATGCTTACGAGCGGCTGGTTGCCTGGCGACGATTCCGCTACGACCGCAATGGCACTCAACCGATGCGGACCTGGAAAACTCTGCTGAGCGGCTCGCCAGTCATCCCCGACGGCCACTGCCCCGGCATCCAACGAACCAAGGGAGGTCCAGACGTGGACCCCGAAGGTGAATTCCCCCAGGATGAACGCTACACTGCACACGTTGACTCCTATTATCTCCAAGACACCGCCACCCTTTCTACCAACCTCGTGACCATCCGCAAGGACTTCCTCAAAGGAAACCCCATCGCCCACCATACCACGTACCACTTCTGGCACTCGCAACACCAATGCTTCAAAGCGGGCTTCATCAACGAGCAACTAGGCATGCTCGACGCCGGCGCTTGACGCCGGCGCTTGACGTCAGTGCTTGACGACGGTGCTTGACGACGGTGATTGACGACGGTGCTTGACGACGGTGCTTGACGACAGTGCTTGACGACGTGTGAACGCTGTTTGTTTTTTGGCAACACTATGTGAGACATTGAGTAGATGTGCGCACCGGGGAACCACCCCACGTCTCCGCAAAAAATGACTCACCCGGTCAGCGTGTTTCACAGGCGTATGCCTCACCGATCGGTGTACTGGGACGAGTCTTAAGGTGGTGGGTCTGGGCGTTGCAGCCAGCTGGCAAGAATTTGTCTTTGGTGTTCCGGCGATAGCGAAGCGGGATCAGCCAAGACCCACTGTGCCGAAGCAATGGGCATGGAAACAGGCCACAGATGGCTCGAAACAGCCTCCTGTACGCGGTCGCAAGGTCGGAAGGCCAGTAGGAATTCCGCGAGCTGTTCGGGGGAGAAGTCGAGGGCCTGGAGCACGCCTGCCATGCCAACCCAGTAGGCGTTGCACGGCGTTAGGGGTATGAACGTTTGCGATTGAGCCAAATCAGTAAGCGACTGGGTCAAGGGAATAGGAGGGGGTGGGGCGGGCGTTGCGGTAGCACTAGGGGGCGGGGCGGCCACACTAGGGGGTGGGGCGGGTGTTACGGTCACACTAGGGCTATGTCGATTGCGTTTGGGTGCTCGTTCGAGTTTCAGTTTGCTAAGGGTCCTAAGCATCCGGACCTGACCGTCAGGGAAGACCTGTCGAAGGAAACCAGCGAATGTGATTCTTTGATTGAGGCTGGCGAGGAGTGCGGCGATTTCCGCCCGGTTACCCACGAGGTTTTGCGGGACTTCGAGAAACTCGTCGTGCACATGGGGGCCGTGATTGCGCCGGCCTTTACGCGTCTCGTAGTTCCGTCGCGTGAGAGGTATCTTTCGGAAGCATTCGCACGGGCAACCATTGTGTGCCTGGGCCGGACGGTACTCGAGTTCGTACGCGCAAAAGTCCGCTAGCCGGTCGATGGTTATGCCGGCCTGTAAGAGCAAACAGCCACCGATCCAGACCTCCACGAGGCGTTTGTAGCTCGTTCTGGGGAGCTTCTCAACCCCCAGTGTCTTCAGCACGCCCTGCTTCTTCAGCAGAGACCGGCAACTCTCCTCCGTCAATGTCCCGAACACATGTGTACAAAATAATCCAATTACCGCCGCGCACTCAACGTAATCCAACCGACACTCCGCCAGGTCCGCCAACGTCACCTTCTCCACCAAGCCCTGCGACGGCCGTCTGCACAATACCTCCAGCCGCTCCTCCGCTTGCGCACTCGACGAATCGAACAATGGCCTTGTCACACCTATCGCCAAAGCCGTCAACCCAACGGGAAGTATCTGACGCATGAACCGACTTAACGGCATCGCCTGGCTCACGGGGGGGGAGTCTTCCTTCCCGCCCAGGAGGGGGGAGTCTTCCTTCACGCCCAAGAGGGGGGAGTCTTCTTTCACGCCCAAGAGGGGGGAGTCTTCTTTCACGCCCAAGAGGGGGGAGTCTTCTTTCACGGAGTCTTCTTTCACGGAGGAGGTTCCTGCCATGCAGGTTCCTCCTCCCACAGCCATCCAACAAAAGAAGTGCCAGAAACTTGGCGAACCGCCTACCTTCCCTCGCATTCGCCAATTATTTACCCACCTAGCCTGCGGCCTCGCCGGAGAGATTCCTATTAGGATTGGGGGATGTATCAGCCTTGCCGTAGTGTTGGGGATGGATCAGTCCCGACAGTAGGCTAAGGCCGACAGTAGTCGAAGATGGGGCAAAGACGCTCGGGTCTAGCGCAGTCGGGTCGAAAAGGGCGACGAAATCACCCGTTCAGGAGATTTCTAAAAAAGCTTTTGGTGCAGCCAAGGAAGAATGGGAAAGAAGAGCCCGAGGAGATGAAGAAGCAACCATCTCTGGACGCGACCCCCTATGGAGACGGCGGGGGGTGGAGTCCGCACCCATGAACTCCACATTTTTACCGGCTGTAAATCAATGACTCAATCACATGCAGTGGCCAATCACATTCTAGCGGCATGCCTGGCATGTCGCCCCTTACTGCTAAAACCCCCAGGCCTCCCCAAAGAACTTTGGTAGTTTTTCGGTAGCACAGAACACGCTGTCTTGCGTCCTTGAATCGGTTGCGCCCTTGCGATACTACAGGGGATACATCGCCGGTGCGTCATTGACCTGCTGTGTCTCGACACGCCAGCGAGTTGAAGTTTTCTTTCACACGCCGAGCTTTTGTGGTGGACACCGCCGAGGCGCTTTCAGAAGCGACCCTCCCCCGACGTAGGCATATTGGGCCAGGCGGCTGAGGACGTGGCGAGCACCTCTGTGGGCGCAGTCCAGCGGCTGGGGAAAACCAACAATTGCAGAGCGCTGTTGTCAATCCTAAACACGTCAATGACCGATGCAACAGCTGACTTGATTGTTGCGCATCTGAGGATGTGTCTTGCGGATATGCTGGCGGAAGCGAGCACGGATGAGCGGATTTTTGGTCTTTCGCCGGAGGAATGGTTTCAGTATCAGGTGCATAGCTGGTCACCTCAGTACAAGGTAGAATCGCCGTTAACACCTATATCCCCCGAAGCCGCATCCGAGCAACTTGAAATGGCAGTTACCGAATTCAAAAGACGCTTCCGTGTCAGATATGTTCTTGTACTCTGCGATGAGGCCGCCACACTGTTACGGCAGTCGAACGTTGTAGACATGCAGAACTTCCGGCTGTTCAGGAGAGTCTTCACCGTGCAGGGCATCACGGCGTGCTTTGCGAGAACACAGTCCAAAGTGCAGAACTTCGCTCCTGCTCTACACCGTGATGATTCGTGGAGATTCTACC